TGGAATAGCTTGTCCCCTGAATTGCGGCAAGCAAAATCACTTCAATCCTTCCGAAATGGTTGTCGCAATTTCTTCCTCTGAATCGACAAAACACACACGGCATCTATGTAAAGCAGAATTTCTTTATTTTTTTCTATTTTACTTTTAAATTTTAGATCATGTTTATATAGATTAAAATAGATTGTAACTGTAAAAATAGATTGTAATAATATTATTATTTTATCTGATAGATTTACCGTGTCTAAATAAAAATAAAGTTCAAGTTCAAAGTACACAGACACTGGCAATTGATTGAAGAGACGAGTCATATCTAAATCCTCACTTGACGTCATCAGATTCCAAAATTTAAAACTAAAGAGCCACGAAAATTTTTATTCTCATCAGGCATAAGGGGGTTTAACTGTTTTAGCTTTTCAGCTCAATAGCGTGCTTGGTTTGGAAACCAGCGCGGTTTGAAGTTCACAGTTGTGGTGGTTCGTGATTTACAGCGATTTACTCCGATCGTGCCTGTCGAAAAATATACACTTGTCTTGTGATTTTTAGCCTTTTTAGGAGTCTTAGTGTTGGGAAAAGTGCATTTGTTAATGTTTGTTGGCCTAGTTCAGGTAATCGGTTGACTAGATAGGCAAAGTAAGTTCCAGATGTTTACATTATTTTCCAGCCGCCATATTGGTGTACCAAAGAGATGCGCCAACATGGCGGCTCCATGTTGGGCTCTGCAAATTTGTGCAAAATGTTTCGACGAATATTTGAGGTTTGGACAATCGAAAAGGCCTAAGACTTGAAGGAGTGTCTTTTTTACCTTTCTCCTATAACATCACAATTTCCTGACCTTATTCATTTAATAGTTTTCCATTTATTTTTTTCATTGCGTGAGACTGAAAACGATGCATTGGAATGTATGACTAACCATTAATGTTAACGATTGCATCGATAACATTTTACCTTATACTTTATTTGCTAGATTTAGGATAAATGTTCAGTAACCTGTTAAACCCCCTCTTGCCTCGACTAGCTGCAGTTTTGTATTTCAACTCGTAAACTTGCAATAAGCTGTTAATAAACCATTCACCCATGGGAGCACTTTTCGTTCGACGAGAGCTGGGACATGACCATACGCACCTTATCCTTCATGCACAAGACTAGTTGATTAACTTTTTCTTCTTCGCTCCAGCCATTCATCCTCACACTCCTACGTACCTCAAACTAACCCGAAAACGCCTTGAAGTCTTTGTCTTTGCCACTACCTGAAATATTTTCGGGCTTCACCTTAGTCTGTTCCCCTTCACCGAT